TGAGCATATGACACTGTACCTGTTGTCCCAAGGAGTCCAAGACCAGCTTGGGCAACATAGTGAGACCCCGTTTCAAAACAAAGAAATAAACATAAAAGGGACAAAAGCTGCCAGACCATTTAATGAGAACATAACATTTCCCTGTCTAGTAAAGTTTCTCATTTTTAAAAAAATTGAGTATTCTTTCAAAATTTATACATTATACCTTTGGTACTTCCTTTTTTTTTTTTTTTTTGGTATCAGGGATTGAACCCAGGAGTGTATAACCACTAAGCTGTATCCCCAGCCCTTCTTATTTTTTATTCCAAGATAAGGTCTCACTGAGTTGCTAAGGGTCTTGCTAAGTTGCAGAGAGTGGCTTTGAACTTGTGATCCTCCTGCCTCAGCCTCCTGAGCCACTGGAATTACAGGTGTGTGCCACCATGCCTGGCTCAACTCCAAATCTTATTCTAAAGTTAAAAAAAAAAACAAAACAGTGTTGGCTAGGTGGCTCAGTGTTGAGTGCTGATGGCAGGACAAGCTAGCATGCGAAAAGTCCTAGGTTCAATCCCTGGTACAAGAAGGAAGGACGGAAGGAAGGGAGGGAGGGAGGGAGGGAAGGAAGGAAAGGAGGGAGGGAGGGAAGGAAGGAAAGGAGGGAAGGAAGGAAAGGAAGGAAGGAAGGAAAGGAAGGAAGGAAGGAGTGATTGAGTGTGGGCAGGCCGGCTAGCCACATAACTTAGTGACAGAGCACATGCTTATTAGCATGCACAAGGCCCTGAGTTCAATACCTAGAAGAAGAAAAGAAAGAAAATTCAAACAGATTCTCAACCCTAGCAGTGTCTAGCCTCTGGCACCAAGTTTTCAGGCATTGTTCTATTGAATTTTCACCTAGTCATAGCAACTCTGTGTTTATCTCTGCCATGCCATGCTACAGCCACCCCCCCACCCCATTCTCCTGCTTTTACATGAGTATCAGAGAGAAACACAAAATTCAAGGGACTCAAGACCTCAGCACCACATACAAAGATGTTGTGTCTGCCACCGAGAACTAAAAAAAATAAATATTAAAAAAAAAAGGGGCACAAGAAATAAATGTCTGAGGATGTAGCTCAATGGTAGAGAACTTTCCTTGCATGCTTAAGGCCCTGGGTTCAATCCCAAGTAACACACACACACACACACACACACACACACACACACACACACACAGGTGTCTCAATGGGGGGTATTCTCTCCCATTCCCTCCTCCTCCCTGCTCTTCCCCTTCTATCCCTTGGCGCCTATAATCACCAGGCAGTCTGAGGCTAAGTGGTAGTTTTGCCCTTGGTTGGGGGGGCTTAGAAACCACACTCCTCCCCTTGGGGCCCTCCTGGCCGTTCCAGCATCCTGGTCTTCTCCATTATTGAGATGGGTCTGAAGGGTGTATGGTGTTTCCCATGGTGTGGGTGCCGGAGACAACGGGGGACTGAAAGAGGAGCAGGTATGAGGGTTAACTGAGGGAACAGGGGGATTGTTAGGCATACAGATAGACAAGTGTACGGGGAGAAAGATAAACCCTCAAACCAGCAAAGGAAAAAGGATCCTGTATCTCCCTGGTTTGGAGGTGGATTCCTCACTTTCTCACAAGACTGGTTAAAGACTTTGCAGAGTCCAGTACAAAATGGAATAGTGGTGCCCTGTGGCAAAATTTAAAAACTTCAAGATGGTGACAGTAGACCACTATTCCAAGCGTGGGAGACTTTCTGAGCAGGAGAGGGACTTAGGGGGATTTTGCAATTGCTCAGGCTGCATGCCTGTGAAGCCAGCCTTGCTTTTTAACATCCCTGCTGCTGCCACCAACTTCTCTCATCCCCCAGACTCCCAGGACAATTTCTTTCCTCTTCAGCTACTGATGGGAGGTGGTGTGGGGGGAGTTGAACCCTTAACCACAATCCCTTTCTTTCTCCTCCAATCTCCCTTGTAGGCCTGGGTTCTGCTGCCCCTCCAGATTCCAGCCCAGCTATCACCCCCATGGTGATTGAGGGAGGGCCACCCTCCCCAGGGGCTGCTGCCTACTTCAGCAGAAAAGCCCGACTCTCCTTCCGCCACCAGCTGCATGACGTAGCATCGGCCAATGACTCCACCATTTGAAGGGAGGCAATCAGGGGCTGAACCTCCAGGAAGACTTGGAAACCTCCCTTTACCCATTTCTCAATGGTCCCAGTGTCTGGCTCCCAAATCTATCATGACCTTCTCATTAAATTCTTTCAGACTTTCCAAGTGTTCTGTGTATGACTGGAAGGTTGACAGGGTCAAGGCACTAAGGCTGAGTATAAGGCTGAGGTGGGAAGTGTAGCATCAGGTGGGAGTGGGTCACAGAAATGGTAACTATGAGGCAGACCCCAGGTGTACTAACAGGAAAGTAAATTTGCTGAAACCCAGCTTCAGAGATGAGTGTGGTGAGAGCAAGTTTGGGGAGATGGTTTGCAGGGTATGGTGGCGCTTGCCTGTAATCCCAGAGACTCAGGAGGCTGAAGCAGGAGAATTGTAAGTTCGAGGACAGCTTCAGCAATTTAGTGAGGCACTAAGCACTGTCTCAAAATTGAAATAAAATAAAAATAAAAGGCTGGAGATGTGGCTCAGTGGTTAAGCATCCCTAGTTTCAATCCCCAGTTTGGGGAGGCGGATTGTGGGAGGTTGGGCAGAACAGATAGAATTAGGGAGCATATCATTCAATAAATATTTGGTATTAACTGCCTGCCAGATATAGAGAATGTATCATTGAATCAAGAAGAAAAAACTCTATTTCTTTCTTTCTTTTTTTTGAGCTGACTTTCTAGTACAGGGAGAAGACAAGTAAACAAATAAGTATGACAATATGAGATACTAACAAGAAAATTAAACAGGGTAATGTGAAAATGAGATGGCAGAGGATGGTGTTTCTTTAATTTCAGATGGATAGGAAAGGCTTTTCTGAGTTGAGACCTGAACGACAAGCAGCTAAGAGAAAGCTGGGAAATGAGGTATCAGCGTAGGCCACTGACTCTAGCATACCACTCTGATGCAGGATAGCAGTGAGGCTGTATATATGTGGGGGAAGGGGTATATGGTAAATTTCTACCTTCCACTCCATTTTGCTATAAACCTAATACTGCTGTAAGAAATAGTTTCAAAAAAAAAAAAATCAGGCTGGTACAGGGCTGCACACCTATAATCCCAGTGACTGGGGAGGCTTGAGTCAGGAGAATCACAAGTTGGAGGTCAGCCTTAGCGACTCTGCTGGACCCTTAACAACTTAATGAGAACCTGTCTCAAAAAAATTAAAAGGACTGGGGATGTAGTTCAGTGGCAAAGCGCCCTGGGTTCAATCCCCAGTAACAAAGAATAAATTAAAATTTTCACAGGACTGGGGGTATAATTCAGTGGTAAAGCTGTTACTTAGCATGGATGAGGCCCCCCCCCCCGCCCCCAGGCAGAAAAAACAGTAAATGGTAAGGTTGTAGGAAACCAAAAATAAGGAATGACTGGAGTGTTAAGGTTAAGCAATTGTTGAACTTCAAAGTCTTGGTAAGGAGCCAAAATATTAGTCCAGGTGGTACAGTAAGACATCCAAGAATGTTAAAGCAGGGAAGCAACATGGTCTCATGTTTACAAAGGTTACTTCTCTTGCTGTATGGGAAAAGGACTGTCCTAAGGGCAAGTAGGAAACAGAAAGGCCATTTAGGAGGTTGTTGCCATTCAGAGATCATGGTGGTTTGGATCAGGATTGTGGTATGGAGATGGTAAGTAGATGAATTCTATGTATGCTCCTCTCTCCTGCCCTCTAAACCCCTCCAAGGCAGGATATTATGCATACTAGAACGAGGTTTCCAAATGTATCTTTTATGGTTCCCTGATCCCTACACTGGAGAAAAGAAGACTAAACATTTGTCACTGTCAATAAGCACCACTGAATTCCTTTAGGTCCTTGACGTTGGAAGGAACAGAATCCATTCTCAGCCTTCTGTGAGAATGGTGACTTTCAGAGCCAGTCTAAAGCATTTAAATTCCACTTGCAGACAAGACCAACTTCTTTCCCCTGAAGCCAAGGAAGTCACATTGCTATGTCCTGACCACAAGATGAGGTAACAGAAATTAAGTATGGAGAAAGAGAACCATGAAGTGAGGCTAAAGGAGAGTTCTTCTGGTCTTCGGCCCAGTAATCACTGATGATGACTGCTACGCCAGGAGAGATGACCTCAATCTCAGAATTCTAAATTCTACCTTGGACTTGAACATAGAGGGGTAGGTATTGTTGGTAGCCCCCACATTAACCTTATTCTAATAGTTTAAGTAGCTAGAAATGATAGAGAAAAGGAAATATGGGGGATAGTTTGGAGAAAGAAGTTTGAAAACCAATCATGTAGCTTGGGGCAACCATGTAGCATGTGTTACTGTTGGTCATCGATTCTACCAAACACATCACCTGGTGTAGAATGTTGAAAGCAGGGGAGGCAGTTGTATGTGGGGACGGGCATATATATGGAAAAATCTCTAACTTCCACTCTATTTTACTGTAAACCAATACTTCTCTAAAAAAGTTTACCAAAACAAAAAAGCAAAAACAAATCCTTAAAAAAATCAGATTGGGTGCAGTGCATACTTTTACATGCTTGTAATCCTGACTATGTGAGGTTTGAGATAGGCTGGCAGTGAGGTAGGAGGATGGCAAGCATGAGGCCAGCCTGGCCCCTGCTGGAATTACAGCTCAGTGGTAAAGCACTTGCTTAGCATGTAGGAGGTTCTGTTATGATTAATCCATAACACCATAAAAAGAGCAGAGAAAAGAAGGGGGAAGGGGTGGAGAAGGGAAAGAGGAGGAGGGAGGAAGAAAGAAAACCACACATGCAAAAGTCTAGTGAAGAGTGGTGGAACATTCATAAACTCCCTCAATCTCCTGTGTAACTCCTCTTGAGTTTAGTGCAGTGGTTTGCACAAACCACTAGTGGGCCAGACAAGTTCAGGTTTGAGGTAAGAAAAGAACCTCAAATTACAAAGACTCTCTTTGACAAACTGTTTATTAAATTCTTATTGGTACGGGGTGAATATTATTACATCCTAGAATCGCAGACTTAGGGAGGTGGTAAAGTAGCAATGGTGAATTTGGGTATCTGGTCTCCCAAAAGTACCTGCCGCTCTACCCCCGATTCTTCAATGGCTGCCAGGCGGATCACCCCTCCACTGGAGCCATCCCGTTCCATAGCCAAAGCAAGAGCTGTGGATAAAAGGAGGAAGTTGGATTTGGAGTTAGTTGCTGGGAGTACTGTAATAAAGGAGAAATGTTGGTCTGGCTTAGGTAGAGAGAGTTGACGACCACAGGCCCAGAAACCCAAGTTCTCACCATTGGCAGTGAACTGCAGACACTCCTCCTTAGTCATGCCTTCACGGTAGGTAGCATCAACATAGCCATAGATATATGAACTCCCAGAGCCTCCAATGGCAAAGGACTGCCTTACCATCATACCTCCCATGGGAACTGAGTATACCTGCCAGACGGAGAACAGTCACAGTGTATAACCTTCTCCCAGCACATATACATCCACCTTCCCATTGTGGGATCAGTCTGGGGAGAGTTAATGGTAAGTGAGGTAGAAACTGAAATGAGAAATAGAAAATGGTTGGAGTAGAGAAAGGATCTAAGGCAAGGCTTCAGTGCTGGAGTAGATTATTTCACCTGTCCTCCTTCTTGAGGATCCCAGCCAGCAATGATAATTCCCGCCATCAGATCTTCCCGGTATCGGTAACACATCTCCTTAAAGAGGCTGGCTGCTGTGTGCACCAATGGAGGCTCATTCAGTTCAATGCTGGAGGGTTGGGTGGGGGTTACAAAGAAGGCAGTCTTAGGTCCTGACAGTGAGCCCACTTAGTGCATCAGGTCCCAGGACCCTTCCCATACTTGCTCCTTCCCTGCCCACAAGCACCTGTGGAATCCAAGCTGATAAGTGACAGCATCTGCTACAGCCTGGGTGTCAGCTGCAGAGCCTGAACGGCAGCAGAAAATATGGTCATGAATAGGAGTCAGCTTGTCAGTCACTCGATTGGCAATATAGGACCTGCAAGATGGCAGAATAGTGAGGGAAAGACCCCACCTGCCTCCCACCTCCATCCCATCACTATCCACAAGGGAATGGGGGGTACCTGGGGTGTGAGTGTTTTCAGGGATAGGAAACCAGTATTGCTTATTGGTTCTCATACAAATGGAAGTAGGCTGGATGGAGAACAGACTTTTATAAGGATGAATGAAACTATAGAAATACAAGCTGGGATAAATCTTTCTCTCCAGGTAGACGAGAAATTTCCCTGCCCACATTAGTCTGGAGGATTAAGGATGGACTGGCAGGGCTAGGGATGCGTGGCTCAGTGATAAAGCACTTGCTTGGCTGGCCACAGGTTCGATTCCCCAGCACCGAAAAGAGGGAAAACAGGATAGTCCCGCATGCAAGAAAGGGAAAGATGGGAAAATCTTTCATAAATCTGTCCTGAGCTCACCCAGTGGTTGTTCTGGAGTCTGCTCCCAGAACCACACCCCCGTCAAATTGCACAGCCATGATAGTGGTCTGAGAAAAGGGAGAGAAGGATGAGTCTAGACTTTTCCACATCCCCCAACATACATAAACCCCAACAATTCCCTCCCCAGATCCCATAATACAAAACTCGTGCGCCGCGGACCCATTTTCCAATCCTGTGGGGGCCTCTACACTCCTCTCAAAATACCAGAATTCCAACCCTCATGCTCAGAGGTTTCATTTGCCCTGAAAGATAGAATTTCACGCTTCAACCCACCCTTTACTCCCCATCACCAACGTACCACACCACTCCAGCAACCTCAGAATACCTCTCTCTGGCCGTGAGCATAACACAGTCCACCTCCCCTCTCCCAACCCCACTTGGGCTTTATCCTCCCCAGTTGTGCACATTTTCTGAATCCTGACTCCTTCCTCACCCCTGTGGAGACTTCCCGGTTTTCCCAGTCTGGGGCTACAGCCTCCCGCCCCCAGGCGGGTGCGGGACCCTCTCCTCGAGCAGCAACTAAGGTGGCCGCCATCTTCCTCCTCCTCTGCTGCCACAAAGCAACTGTCGTAAAGCGCTCTGTCACTCTCTCTGAGGCCTTCTGGGAGAGAAATCATGCCGCGGTTGACGGCAGAAGGGAAATGAAAGTAGAGGCTACGTTATTTTGCGACAGTGAGCACTTGATGGCAGTGTGTCAGGCAACAAATTAAAGAGAGCGGGGCAGAGAGACAGCGAAAAGAGAAAGTCCTGTCTTGCTGTGGTGGCGCGCGCATATTACCCCAACGAAGGAGGATCGCAAGTTTGAGACCAGCCTTGACAATTTAGTGAGATCCTGTTTCAACATAAAATAAAACAGGTTTGGTGGATGTAACTCAGTGGTAGATCATCCCTGGGATCAGTGCTTAGTACAGGGGAGTCCGGAAAGCAGGGGATGTTGCTCGGTGGTAGAGCACTTTTGCACATGCAAGGTCCTGAGTTCAGTACTGGCCTGGGCTGTACTGATCTGTCTGATTGGAGCCTGGAGATCTGAGTTGGAATAATCGTGGGGTGTTTTCATTTTTCTTGGCTGTAAACTTAGCAGCGGTTGAATTACAGGGTCTTATGGTAACTCTATTTAACATTTTGAGGAACTGACCATTGTTTTCTGTAGCGACTGCACCAGTTTTTATATTCGCACCAGCCATGTGTGAGGATTCCAATTTTTGTGCATACCGACCAACACTTGGTATTATGTATCTTTCTTTCTTTTTCATTTTCTTTTTCTTTTTTTTTTTTGTGGCCATCCCAGTGGATATGAGTGCAATCTTCTGGCTTTTTATTTGCATTTCCCTAATAATTAGTGATATTGAGCATATTTCCGTGTGCTAATTGGCCATTTGTGTATCTTCTTTGGAGCAATGTTTATTTAAGTTCTCATTTTTAAATTGGGATTTTTTTTTAAATTGTTGGGTTATGGGAGTTTTTTAAAATATTTATTTATTTACCTTTGAGACAGGGTCCTGTTGTGTTGTTCTGTGCTTTTTTTTTTTTTTTTTTTTTTTGTACTGGGGATTGAACTCAGGGGTACTCGACCACTGAGCCACATCTCCAGCCCTATTTTGTATTTTATTCGAGGCAGGGTCTCACTGAGTTGCTTAGCTCCTTGGCATTGCTGAGACTGGCTTTGAACTCAGGATTCTGCTGTCTCAGCCTCCCAAGCCGCTGAGCTTTTTATATTATTCTTGATATTAGAAACATCCCGTACATGATTTCCAAATATTTTTCTCCCATTGGCTTGTTTTCTTAAAAAAAAATTATTGGTTGTTGATAGATCTTTATTTATTTATATGTGGTGCTGAGGATTGAACCCAGTGCCTCACACATGCTAGGCAAGTGCTCTACCATCGAACCATAGCCCCAGCCCTGGATTGTCTTTATACTTAATTCATTTGTATTCTTTGAAGAAGGAAAGTTTTGATATGTGTGTGTGTGTGTGTGTGTGTGTGTGTGTGTGTGTGTGTTGCTGTGAATCAAACCCAGGGCTTCATATTTGCTAGGAAAGCTCTGTACCACTGAGTTACATTCCCAACCCTTTAAAAATTTTTACAGATTCTTCCTAAATTGTTCAGGCTAACCTCCAACTTGGGATCCTTCTGCCTCAGTCTCTGGAGTCACTGGGATTACAGGATGTGCCACTGTGCCTGGCACCTGTGTTTTCTTTGAAGAGTTCTGTAGTGCTGACTCTAACATTCTTATATCCGTGATCCATTTCAAGTCATTTTTTTTTGTATATGATGTGAAGTCTAAATTCATTTATTCCTCTTCATCTTCCTCCTCCTTCTTTTTTGGTACTATGGAATGAACCCAGGGGTGCTTAACCACTGAGCCACATTTCTGGCCCTTTTTTTTTTTATTTTGAGAAAGGTTCTAAGTTCTGAGGGCCTTGCTAAATTGCTGAGGCTGGCAACTTGCAATCCTCCTACCTCAGCTTCCCAAGCCACTGGGATTACAGGCATGCCCACCACACCGGCTTAAATTCATTCTTTTGCATGTAGTTACCCAGTTGTTCCAGCCCTATTTGTCAAAAAAGGTTCTTCCTTCCCCCTTGAATGTTTTTGGCATCCTTGTCAAAAATCAATGGAGCAGGGAGTTGGGGTTATGGCTCAGTGGTATAGTGCTTGCCTAGCATTTGTGAGGCACTGGGTTCGATTCTCAGCACCACACATGAGCAAATAAATAAATAAAGGTACATCAATAATTAATAAAAATATTTTTTAAAAATCAATGGATCTGGACTGGGAATATATCTCAGTTGGCAGAGCACTTGCCTAGCCTGTGCAAGGTCCTGGATTCAATCCTCAGCATCACCTAAAAGAAAAAAAGAATCAATTGACCAAAAGCTAGAGGTGGTGGCATTTGCCTATAATCCCAGTTACTTGAGAGGTTGAGGCAAGAGGCTTGCCTTGAGTCCACAAGTTAGAAACTAGCTTGGGCAACACAAACTCCAGCTTAAAAAAAAAAAAAAAAAAAGCAATTTACCAATAATATATGGATTTATTTCTATACTCTTCTCCTGGTTTTATTTCAATGAGCTATTATTTAATCCTCATGCCAGTATCATACTGTCCTGATTACTGTAGCTTTGTAGTACATTTAAAAGAAAATTATCCAGTATATCAGTGCATACCTGTATCCCAGCTACTTGTGAGGCTGAGGCAGGAGGATTATTTAAGCTCTGGAGTTCTAGATTAGCCTAGGCAACATAGACCACATCTCCCCCCGCCCCCTCCCCCCAAAAAACGCATAAAATTTTAAAGAGTGAAGTTCAGTGTCATTTGCTACATTCAAAATGTTGTATAACCACCATCACTATATAGTTTCTGAATGTAGTAATTTCTGAAATTGGAAGTGTGGATCCTTCAACTGTGTTTTCCTTTTCAAGATTGTTTTGGCTATTCTGGATCCCTTGCATTTGCGTATGAATTTTAGGAGTAGCTTGTTCCTTTCTGGGAAAAAAAATTAGGAATTTTGTTAGGGATTGCATTGCACCTGTAGATCAATTTAGGAAAGTGCTGTCTTTTTCTTTTTCCTGTACTGGAGATCAAACCTAGTGCCTCATACATGGTACTACTACTGAGTTAGGCCCTGGCCTTTCTTGTATTTCGTTATAATCCCTTTTTGTGTGTGTATGCTGGTCTTATGTATCTATTCACTGTGCTACTGAGCAACATTACTAAACTCTTGGCCTCATTTGTGATTTAATTAATTATTTTTTGAGCAGGAAAGTGACAGGAAATAAACTGCATTTTAAAGTGTTATTTTTTTCTGCTTTACTGACAATACATTATTGGGAGGGAAAGGATGGACAGAGGGACAACTAAGAAGCTGTTGCAGCTGTGTATGATGGCACATGCCTGTAATTCCAGTGACTTGGGCGGGGCTGAGACAGGAGGATTGCAAGTTGGAGATCAGCCTCAGCAATTTAGCCAGGTTCTAAGTAAATTCCCAAGACCCTGTCTCAAAAAATTAAAAGGGCTGGGGGTGTGGTTAAGTGGCCCTAGGTTAAATCCCCAATACAAAAAAAAAAAATATTGCAATAAAATTAGTTATCCATAAAGTTGTCCTGGACAAGGGTAGTAGTGTAGTAGTGGTGGAAAAAGTGGGAAATTGTTAGATACTCACATATTGGATGTTGATGTGATGAATGGGAAACAGAAGAGTCATATTACAAGGTTTATGGTCTAAGGTCCTGAAGAATGGAGGTATTTACTGAGCTAGCAATGACTAGTTTGAATATGTTAGGTTTGCTATGCCTAGTTCACATCTAAGCAAAAATGCAGAATTCACAGTTGTAGACATAGGATTCTGGAGTCAAGAAGAAAGTGTATGGGAGGTATAATTTGGGAATTTGCCTCGGAAAAGGGCAGGCTTTTTCATGTTCAGTGCTGTTTTGGGAGTGGCCAAAGAATCATTTGGTAAACATAGGATAGACACAAAGTTAGGGAGCTGAGTGTCTGCTTGGTGTGAGGCATGATGTGCAGGTCATGGAAAGGAGAGTGTGCTGTTCATTCAAGGAGACAGAACAATGGACAAGATGCACTTTCAGGGGGAAGGTGATGGGATCCGTTTTGCAGATGTTGTTTGAGCTGACTGTGAATGTCATCAGGAAAGAGTTGCTATATGTCAGTGGAACCCAGAAGACAGGTCTGGGCTGGAGAGGTGGCATGGAGTTGGCAACTGAAGCCACAGGAGTGGTTGAAATAGATCAGGAGAAGCTTGATCATTTCGGCTGCCGGGAACAGGAATGACACATCTTCCCACACTGTTTCCCTTAAGTGCCTGCCATCATTACACAAAATGCCTGAGGTCGGCTGCTGCCAAAGAATACTTCATTCCTCACGGTTCCTCCCATTTTCCTGAGACTACAGAATGAGCGAGAAGCTCAAAATCATCCCCGCCGGGGGCAGGACTTGGCTCAGATGGCGTCACTGTGGGAGTGGGACAGCCAAGCTGCCAGCTCAGGTGTCTCCCATCAGTATTGGGGTCGAGATCCTGGGCTGCGCTGATCCCTTCCCAGGGTTCTCCCTTCTGGGCCAGTCTCTCACCACTGCAGACTTCAAGCCAACGGGAGGAGTCCGTGTCCGGCTATCAGTCCCTGGGTGCGGTTGTGGCCATTCTCCAGGGTGCCAGCGGTCCCGTCTTTGTAGCCCGCGCGTCCGCTCTCTGGTTCCTGGACACGCCAGCTCCAGCAAGCGGCTGCGAGTTGGGAGGGCGAGGAGAGCGAGGCGGGCGTCGTGACGGATGAGCCAGGGGTGATATGGGGTCAGGAAATGTCCAATAGGCTTCGCTGCATTGCGTGCCGGCGTCCGGTCCTCCCAGCGTCCTTGTCGCCACCCAGTGGAGGCAGATCTGGGACCAGCGCAGCGCATGCTGCAGCAAGAGCAATAACATTCGTGAGCCCAAAGACCTGGCCAGCTGAGTTCCTGGGGACCCTACCTGGCAGCTCCTGCATTCCTGCCTGCTTCTCCCAGACCACCATGGTTGTCAGTGATGTGTAATGGGTGGAATCTGGGCCATGCACACGAGTCTCCAGTGCTGTCACCTTGGTGAAGGCCTTGCTTGTGGTGAAGGTGAAGGTGGAGCCAAGGGGAGTTAGGAACCTGTGTGCTTGGTGGGATGGGATGGGGGAGATGATTTGAGAGGGCGATGGAAACAAAGAAGTGAGGACTGGCTTGTAGGAGAGAGATCACTCACCTGACTAGTTCCTTCCATCCTGACAATTCCACATCCCCTTTCCAATTTCAGACTGGCAATAAAGGGCCTTATCATGCAGCCCAGCACTCCGTGAGGCCCCAGACAACAAAGCTCTTCTCTTTGGGTACCATCAGAGGATCCGGCTCTTGCTGGATCTACTTAGCAAGCAGGTGGATTAGGCTCTGAACACATTGTCCCTAAGGTCTAGCTTCAGCCCTTTTCTGCTATACTCAGTTTCATGATGGGAAAGAGGAGATGAGGAAGAGGACTCATCCTTCACCAGACCCTTAGCCTAGCTCCCTTTCCCCCTGGGTTCTATCTGGGGCTCTCAGACTCAGCCCTGTCTTGAGCATACCCTGTCTTGAGCATACTTGGAAGGCAGTGGACCTTCTGGAATGCAGGACTTTGCCAGGGCCTGTAGTCTGACAGGATGCTTGGGAAGAGGGGAAACTAAGTGGTGAGGTCCAGAAAAGGGAGCTTGGGTTCTAAGGGCCTAGACTCCTGAGTTTTTCCCTGAGCAGGTAAGGAAAGAAGCCATTCACCAAGGATCTGATCACTGAGATGAAAAAGCACCAACACAAAAATAGAGGAATTGCCTGGTGGAATCAGCAACCTAGGGCAGGGTGAGGCAGTGAGACCCCCCCATGGCTGCTGCTGAGACCACTGCCCCCTCACTAGCCCCTAGCTAGTGTCGTCATAGGCCTCCAGGAGGGGAAAGATGTGGGCAATGAACTGAGATGCAAATTAATTTATTATTAAATTAATTATTAACCTTTTAAGACCCCTTCCCCTGTATACTTTGCCCAAAGGGCATCTACCGTAGGGTGAGGGACTAAATGAAGATTTGGGGGGAATTGGCAACAATGACACATCTCTACATTTCCTTTTCCTGTAGGGTCAGCTTATAGTAAGAGGCAGCCTGGGTATTACTGGGGAGAGAGGCTAGGGTAAGAACCAGTTCCCCTACTGTGGACTGTAAGTTAACTCTGGACTTGGATTCCCTCCACTATAAATTGAGGATAATAATAGGTACTTGCAAGCCTCATGTGAGGATTAAATGATAATGATTGTGAAAATGTTGTAAATGGGAAAGCTGACCACAATTGCCCTACAAATCTTCCCAAGTTCAGTGGGGCAGGGGAGGTCTTTGGGATCCAGCGACCACTCACTTCTAAATTTTCCATTCTATTCCCAGAGAACCTTGTCATGATCTAGGTATGTGACCTTTCAATTATGTACTTTAGGTTTTATCCTTTTACATTCTTTTGGTTTAACTTTTTAAACTCCAGATTGATTCCACGCTCATTTATAAAAATTATCTTCATTAACTACTTCCACATGCCAGGCCCTACTAGGCCTCCAGAATATAAAAGTGTTCTCCCAGAGCTAAACATCCATTGAGGGAGAATTTTCTATTTGTTTTCCCCATGGGAGCTCTGAAGAAGACAGGGGCCTTGTTTTTCTTGGATGCTTACAGGCCAAAACTCATTATTACTAAACAAATAGGAATTGAATAAGCAAAGCTGTGTGTATGAAGGGCAGGCAAATCAGGGGTGGAACTCTCTAACAGATCTAGACAGGTTTTGTTTGCTTTTTGTTTTGTAAATTAGAAGTCCACACGGTGGAAAGAAAGTAAGGATATAGTGGGGGCTCATGGTGCAGCAGCTCTGGAGGCCAAAGCTGTAGGATCACCATTTCAAGGTCAGCCTGAGCAATTTAGCAAGGCCCTAAGCAACTCAGCGAGATCCTGTCTCTAAATAAAATGCAAAAGAGGGCTGGGGATGTGGCTCAGTGGTTAAGCGCACCTGGGTTCAATCCCCGGTACCAAAAAGAAAGCTTGGATACAGGAAGTGATAGAAGAAACAGCCTGTTTTGTTCTTAGGGGGTTCTTAGAGCCTTATCCATAAACATCTTAGAGTTGGGTATATCTGGTACTCTGGATTCTCAAAGGGTCAGCACTCCAGTCTCTAAGAAGACCCATCCCAATTCCAGCGGTTCATGAATTCTTGCAATATGCTCACTCTATGCTCCTCACATCCTGGAGCTCCCTAGGTTGCCCCTGGCCAATCCTGTCTCTGAGGCCTAGTCCTGGACTTTGTTCCCAGTGTTGGAATGGTTCCCTGCTTGCTGGTTTTGACTTCAGGCAAGTCATTTGTCATTTCTGGGCCTTAGTTCCTTCATCAGCCACATAGGAAAGGTAATTCAGATTTCCTAACATTGTGAGGATTAAATAAAATATGTCTGCAAAGCACTAGCCACAATTTGTGTCCTATAGTAAGCCTTTAATATGTGGTTATTATCTCAACTTGCCCACTGTCACTACCCCTCCTTTCTTAGCTTTGGGACTCTGCCTTCCTGAAGTCTGTGGAGTTCCCGGAACAGATTAGTTTTGAATGTCACTTAATCCTGGAGGCCCTTCCGCAATTGGAGCCTAGATTGGGGCTGATAGGGACTGGACTGATATAAACCTGAGTTAAGAGGCCTGATTCACAGATGCTGCAGGATGGAACCGAGTGTGGGAACCAAGCTGCTGATGCTGTTGTGGGCCGTGTACTGCAAATATGCGCTGGCAGATGGGCTGATCGGCTACCCTGTCATTGAAGTGACCAACGGGGGTCCCTGGGGCGACTGGGCCCTGCCTGAGATGTGTCCTGATGGATACTTTGCCAGCGGGTTCTCACTTAAGGTGAGAGCTCTAGGGCTTGGAGGGGGTGGATATGGCATGGGACCATGGAGCCAAGGATGACGGTCCCCTGACTCATCCTCATTATCCAGGTAGAGCCCCATCAAGGCATTCTCGGTGATGACACAGCTCTGAATGGGATCCGGCTGCATTGCACACGTGGTAACTCTGAGCTCAACACTCAAGTTGTGGAGTCCCAATCTGGAAAGTGAGAAGGGGCAGGGGCCAAGCATGTCTTAGGGTCAGGGCATGTCTCTTACCCTCCTGTTACATGCCCTCTCCCAGCAGATAGACTCCTCCTGAATTATGGGGCAGTTTAGACTTGAGGAGGTGGATGGAAGTCCACCTGTCTGCACCTCACGGAAGTCAGGTGGTTAAATCCAATCGAATGGGGTTGCCCTGACCTGCATTGGAAAGTCCCACGTTCTGGGTTGGCCTCAAGGTGAGTAGGGAGTGCTCGCAGAGCTAGCGCTTCTCCTCTTCCCTTATAGGTGGGGTGCATGGAGTGAGCCTCTATGGTGTCCTAGTGGTGGCTTCCTAGTGGCTTTCTCACTTCGGGTGGAAGCACCCATAACCCCTGGGGACAACACCGCAGTGAACAACGTGCGTTTCCGGTGCTCAGATGGCACGGAGTTGCAGGGGCCTGGGCTGGACTGGGGAAAATTTGGAGAATGGAGCACGTCTTGCCTGAAAGGTGCGTGTGGCTTACAGACCAAGGTTGAGCAGCCTAGAGGCCTCCGTGATGACACTGCACTTAA